TTACCTTTCTACGGTTGCATACATGAACAACAAGTGGTCTACTTCGTTCGTTCTGGCACGCCAACGACTACGGACGCTGGAAACGACGAGAGCCACCTGATGCCATGGTGTATTTCATGCTGAATTTTTTGAGAATCCTTCCGAACCCATAATGATTTATGGTGAAATAACATTATCTGTGTTGCTCTTATATTGACATTTCTCTTTCACAAACACCATACATCATTATTTATCTGGTAATTCGATGCCCGGCACATTCGAATTTTGCATGTGTAATGACCTATCTGTGTTAATATACCATTACTTTCTTTCTGTGTTCCAGGTAACCCACTGTGCGCCATCCACCAATATGTCGAAGAAATGAACGCTCAATCGGTCGACCCCCCTCCCCAAGAGTGACCTTGAACCCCCGCCCATGTATATATACCCGGACGTTTGACCCCGCCCCCACCCGACTTCCGGCTCCGTACTGTTACATGCCGTTCTGATAAACGCCTGTTACCGCTCACCCGTCTTCTCCCTGCGTGAAGCCTGAACGCGTGTATTTGCTGCCCGTGACTCCGGTTGCTTGTTGTTGATTACGACTTGTCCTCCCTTGAATTTCAGACCAGAAGCCCGACCACTGCAAAACTGGTGGCATTGGTGGGATGGTGAGAACTATGCCAAAAATGGGTGAATCTTCCACACCAAGAGAGGAAGAAAAGTTCGATAACAACTCGATGCTCTTCCAGGCACTATCAGCATTACGCATGCTAACCGAAAATATGGCCGTACAGCAGATTCCGACGCCCTCAAAATTCCACATCGAGATGACTACGACCGGTGGGAATCCCAAGCCCGGTGATATCTACTCATGTGGGAGCCCGCCAAACGACGGTACATATTGTTTTCCTTGGTAGAAGAACCGATGTACGACCAGATCCATCAGGAAGTCCCCGAAGATGTCACGGATGAAACTTTCGACATAATACGGTCTATTGTCGTCCCGCACCGGCGGAAGAAACAAGTCAGAGATGCTTTCCGTTATCGGACGCAGCGACTCGACGAGACCGCTCAGCGGTTTGCTGCTGAATTGCGAAAGCTGGCTACATCGGCATTTTCGGAGTGCGAACCAAGCTTTAAGGAACAATCGGTCCTGCATCAGTTCGCTGATGGTGTCCGCCCAGCCGCCGTGCAAAACTCGTTCGTGGAGAAACCTCCAGTGTCTCTCAAGGAAGCCGTTGATCGCGCTTCGTCCCTTGAAGAGCCGCCAGCAGCCCCCAAACACGTGTCGGACCCAGGTCTTGCGAAATGCCGATGGAGCCCTAGACGCCACCCGATGAGACGAGATGGTCAAGGACCCAGTAGTCGCGAGCAATGGAAGAAGCAGTGGAACAGCTGGAGCTCACGGAACAGCCACTCAAGTGAGTCTTCCAAAAGTTCTTATTTGCCATTCATTTGTTCAAAACTTCTGAGTCATTGCCAATCATCCGCGGGTTGATAAATGGTGTTTAAGGTAGAATGCTGGTAGACACGGGGTCGGCTTGCACTCCTGGTTAAACGTGTTCCTATGATCCCCCAAGAGCGCACCCGAGTCGCACGACAACTCTGGGCTGCCAATAACACTCGGGTACGTACGTTAGGCTCCGTCAAGGTAACGTTGAGCATAAAGAGCCAAGAGCTGTGTCAAGAAGTGGTGGTAGTCCGCAATCTCCAGTGAGAAGCCATCCTAGGTGTCGATTTCCTGTCACAACACTCGTGCAACATAAATCCAGGCAAGGGCTTTTTGCACATTAACGGTGAATGCGGTACGTTCGAAGCCTCACCAAGAAGGCGCCGTGATAGAATAATGGGATGCAACACGAGACCACGACATGATCACATCAAGGACCTTTTAGCAAATGCCGGTACTATGTCCGATCGGGAACGAAGCCAGCTACGAAACACCATCTCGAAATATCAGAACGTGTTCGCCTGGACCGAAGGTAAACCGGGAGAACTAGTGTGGTTGCGCATGCAATTAATACAGGTGACGCTTAACCCATCCGTGTACCTCCGAGGCGGGTCCCTGTACATTACCGTGAAGAACTCGGAAGGATGGTGCAAGAAATGTTAGATAGGGGAGTCATCAAGCCATCTATGTCCCCGTGGGCATCACCCATCGTGCCTGTTAATAAAAGACGGATCCCTGAGGTTATGCGTCGACTACCGGGCTCGCAACAACGTCACCAAGAAAGATTCCTTTCCGCTTCCGAGGATACATGACACCCTTGAGGTCGTAGCAGGATCGCGCTAGTTCTCCACATTAGATTTGGCGGCTTGCTATTGGCAGGTGGAGATTCAACCAGCAGACAGAGAAAACGGCGTTCACTGTTCCCTCCGGCCTCTACGAGTTCCAAACAATGCCTTTTGGGTTAACGAACGCTCCCACGACCTTCCAATGCCTGATACAGGAGGTACTGAGGGAATTGATCCCGGGAAGTTGTCTCGTCTATCTCGATGACAATGTTGTTCATGGGAAGAGTTTTGAGGAACATCTCACGAACTTGCAGCTAGTATTCCAACGCCTTAAGTCCGCCGGGTTGAAGTTAAGACCTAGCAAGTGTCGTCTATTATGCTCCCAAGTGCGGTTCCTTGGTCACGTGATTAGCCCGGAAGGAGTTCAGGCAGACCCTAAGAAAATAAATCAGATATCGACCTGGCCAACACCGAGCAGTATTGAAGAGGTCCGAAGTTTTCTCGGTTTAGCCTCGAACTATCGCCGTTTCGTCCGTGACTTCGCAAAAGTAGCTGCGCCACTACACCATTTGGCCGAAAAACGGCAAACATTTAAATGGTCCGAGGAGTGCGAAATGGCGTTTAAAGCACTAAAGACGGCCTTAACAGTGACGCCCGTTCTAACCAGCCCAGACTTGTCACAAACTGCAGAACCGTTCATCCTGGATACCGATGCTAGTGACGTCGGGATTTGAGCGGTCCTGTCCCAAAAACAAGAAGGGATAGAGCAAGTGATTGCTTATGGCAGTCGATGTTTAAATAAACACGAAAATAACTACTGCACCACAAGGAAAGAGATGCTGGCTTTAGTTTCGTTCCTCTCCAAATTTCGTCATTACCTGCTCGGGAAGAAATTTATAGTGCGAACAGACCATCAAGCACTCATTTGGCTGCAGAACTTTAAGGACGCAACCGGCCAAGTGGCGTGATGGTAGGAAAGGCTACAAGAGTATAATTTTCAGTGTGTGCATCTCCCAGGGATCCGTCATCGAAACGCAGACGCTCTATCCCGAGGACCCTGCAGAGTGCACGGCGAGTGTCTATCGTGCACACCAGCTTTTGTGGCGGCTATTTCACTACAAGCGGCACGTGCTTCATCATGGAAAAGGCACCAGGCGGAGGATGCAGAACTCAAATTTTTGTATCAACGATTATCCGAGTCAGGGCAAAGACCAACGCGAGAAGAAATGGCTGGGAGCAGCTGGGAAACTATGTGTTCCTGAAGCCTGTGGAAACACATCTCTGTATCAGATGGAGTCATGTATTTCCAATATGGGCCAACGTATACTAGAAGAATCGTGGTCCCTCAGGTAGCTGTTCTGTAAGTGCTCACTGAATTACACCGAGAGCTCGGGCACGTGGGACAGAGAAAAATGCTGGCGGCTGTACGACAACGATTTTGGTGGCCCCATCAAGTAAGAGACGTCGTTAACTTCTGCAACTCATGCCAGCTATGTTTGCAGATGAAGCCTCCAAGGACGTCCAACAAAGCGCTAGTGACACCGATGCCGGCGGGTTATCCGAATGAGCGACTGGGAATTGACATCATCGGTCCCCCACCGGAAACGACCAAAGGGAATCGTTACATATTGGTGATGGTCGATTACTTCACCAAATGGTGTGAAGCGGAACCGCTACCCCGGGCAGATTCGTTCACCATTGCGCAGACCATCCTCAACGCGTGGGTATCACGTTGGGGCGCTCCTTTATATATCCACACGGATCAAGGCTCGAACTTTGAGAGCCTGTTGATGGATGACTTATGCCAACTTTTGGGGATAAAGAAAACCAGGACGACGCAAAATCACCCCCAAGGCAATGGTCTGGTCGAGAGAACAAATCGCACACTGAAGGGGTTATTGAAGGCTTTCGTGAGTGCGAGGAGATGGGACGCTACACTTCCGCCGCGCCTACTTGCGTAGTGAGCTTCAGTACAAACGTCTACCGGCCAATCACCCAATTCGTTAGTCACAGGCAGGGAACTCAGTCTACCACTGGATCTTACGATACCTCACTCCCAGGAATCAGCTCTTGTCAGTACCAGTTACGTCACAAGACTGCAACAAACGCTGCTAATGGGTCATCAACTCGCACGGGAACACCTGAAAACAGCACAGCGCCATCAAAAACACTTTTACGACAAGAAGATCTATGGTTTGCCGGTGCAACCAGGAGAACAAGTGTGGCTGAAATCAACGACCCGATCACCTGGCATGCCGTCAAAACTGAAACACGAGTGGAAAAGGCCGTTCATAGTAATCGACGTCCTGAGCTTCACCACATGCCACGTGGGCAAGGCTGGCGGAGATCCGAATAGTGATAGCCAAGTAGT